TGGGGACACTGGGGGGACAGAGACATTTGGGGGGTTGGGGACATTCAAGAGGATTAGGGACATTTTGGGGGGATTGGGAACACTGGGGACACTGGGGACATTTGGGGGATTGGGGACATCTGGGGAGACAGGGGACATTTGGGGACATTGGGGACATTCAGGGACACTTGGGGATATTCAAGGGGGTTGGGGACATTGGGGACATTTGGGACTTTTGGGGGACTGGGGACATTGGCGATTTTTGGGGGTTCAGGGACATTTGGGGACATTGGGGACATTCAGGGACACTTGGGGATATTCAAGGGGGTTGGGGACATTGGGGACATTTGGGACTTTTGGGGGACTGGGGACATTGGCGATTTTTGGGGGTTCAGGGACATTTGGGGACATTGGGGACACTGAAGTCACTGGGGACATTGGGGACACTGGGGGCAGTTGGGGACAGCCCCAGAGCCACCCCCAGCAGGAAGGGGACACCCCTCCGGTCCTGGCCCCACGTTCGGTGTCACCCTGGCTGTGACGTCACGCGGGCCCCGTGTCCCCAGTGTCCCTTCAGTGTCCCCAAGGTCCCTGCTGTCCCTGATCTTCTTAATGTCCCCAAATGTCCCCAAAGTTCCAAATGACCCAAATGTCCCCAAAGTCCCCCAAAGTCCCCAAAGTTCCAAATGTCCCCAATGTCTCCAATGTCCCCAATCCCCCCAATGTCCCCAGTGTCCCCAATGTCCCCAGACTGAGGGGATTGGGGACATTGGGGACATTGGGGACATTGGGGACAATGGGGACACTGAGGGGATTGGGGACACTGGGGGGATTGGGAAGATTGGGGACACTGAGGGGACATCGGTGACACTGGGGACAGTGGGGGGATTGGGGACATTTCGGGGAATTGGGGACACACAGGGGACATTGGGGACACTGGGGATACTGAGGGACATTGGGGACAGTGGAGACACTGGGGGGACACACAGAGGACACTGGGGGATTGGGGACATTGGGGACACACTGGGGACACTGAGGACATTGGGGACACTGAGGGGACACCGGGGTCACTGGGTCACTCAGGGACACTGAGTCACCATGGGGTCACCACGGGGTCACTGAGGGGTCACCGGGTCACCTCAGGGCCACCAGGTCACCACGGGGGCACCGAGGGGTCACCAGGTCAACTCAGCCACCTCGGGGACACCGCGGTCACCTCGGGGACACCGCGGTCACCTCAGGGACACCGCGGTCACCTCAAAGCCACCGAGGCCACCCTCAGGCCACTGGGGTCCCCCCACCATGTCCCCATGTCCCCCCGTGTCCCCACTCACCGTCCTTGAAGTCTCCATGGGGAACCGGTGTCCCTTGTCCTTACCATGTCCAGCTGTCCCCCCTCTGTCCCCTGTCCCCCCCAATGTCCCCATGGTGTCCCCAGTGTCCCCAATGTCCCCAATGTCCCCAATCCCCTCAGTGTCCCCAATGTCCCCAATGTCCCCAAT